CACTCCATGTGATTTTGCATCCACTTCCAAATTGTAGTCAAGCAGCCCAGTCTCAGAAATAGGTAACAGAAATGTCTCTAATGTAGACAGTGTAGTGTAAGCATTAAAAGATCATAAAGGAAAAACTAACATTTATGTGAAACTAATTGTAATAAAAAATGAGCAGGTGCTTTATAGATTTAAAAGAAAGAATCTGAAAACAACACTTTTTTGGTCTAAGGTCATCAAAAGAAAACAGAACAGAAAAATTTCTAAAAACAAACATTAGCATGCACTAACAGTTATCTTTGGAGGAAGGTGTGGGTCTCCCATGACAAGATAAAAACAATTTCCTGGAATACATAAATTTCATCATGTTGTCACGGTACTGGGTCGTGTGACCCAGTGTTTGAGTTTTATGTATTTTTTGTATTCATTTTCAATCTAGTTAAATTCTAGGTTGCTGTTCAGACCTTATTTCTTAGTTATTTCTGTCATCTCCGCCTGTACTCAGTCTCCCTGGTTCCTGCGTCTACGTTTCATGTCTATGCGGTTAAGTTCATGTCATGTTTTATCTCCATGTCTATGTCTCCGTGTTTCCTGTTTTATTTTGTAAGAGTCTGGTGTTCTTTGTTCATTGTAGTTGGTGTTACTCTCCCCTGTATTGTCATTATGTTTCATTCGAGTCAGCTGTGTTCTCATGTGTCTCCACTTCCCCTGATCACCTCATGTGTGTATTTAAGTCCTCAGTCTTCCTTTGTTCGTTGTCGCGTCGTCTGTGTACCTCCCCTCTGGTCAAGTTAAGTGTTTTTCAGGATTCTGTGCAGTTCATGTTTGCCATTTGGTTTATGTTGTTTTTCATGCAGCCGCACGATGAGGTTCCGTGCAGGTCATGTTCATGTCTGTTTCGTCACGCCATTTGGTTCACAGTTTCCATGCATCTGCACAGCATTCTGTTCACAGTGGTCATAGTTATTCCTTTCAGTCAGGTTAGTGTTTTTCCAGTTTAGGTTTTTGGTTAGTTGCAGTCTCTGTCCCTGTTATGTTTTGTCTACTCCCTTCTGCATCAGCCCAAATAAAGGCTCGCTTTCAGTTTAAGTTCACTCCCGTCTCCTCGCCTGTGTTCGCGCCTGGGTCCACCACACACACTCTCCACACGGTCTGCCCCCGCTGGCCGTGACAGTATGCATATATCTCTATCAATTAAATCTGGCCTGAGGTCTGTTATTTATCTAATTCAGTTATTTCTCTCAGAAATGTTGGCTCTAAATTATGAATGTGTTCAGCTTAAACTGTCACTGGTCAGTGCAAATGGCTCATTGGGTCATAGGAACCTTTAAATTAAATCCAACAAACCTGTCAAATAATATCAAAGGTGAAAAAGCTAAAAAGCTGTTTACGGTAGAATCTTTAAAAACTGTTAAAAAAAGAAAAACTGTAAAGCATCTCATTGATATGTGAGGAATGGGATATGATAACAGATGTCGGGTCTTACATCAATAAACTATAAATACCAGGAGATAGTTATATTTTATTATATTTGTATTATAGTTTATAGCTGATAGATATTGAATTTACTAAATAGCTGGATGAGCATGAAAAATATGTCCAGAATTTAGAGTTGGATGTCGAGAAAATAGCTTCTAACCAGTTCCTCCTTTACTGGATGGCTTCTCAGTAAAGGAGTCCAGTAAACTTTACGGTTCTGCTTTTATTCACCAGGAACTATTAGGGAAACCTTCCAGCGCCTCCTGTGAAAGACACAGGCATAAACACACAAACATTTATTAACATGTTCCACAGTCTTCCAGTTTGATTTTCTCATCCTGTGGACAACAACGTACATGGATGCAGGTTTATTGTTAACTTTTGTAAGGTTTATTTAGTGAACATATCCAGCTGCAGCTCCACTGTGATCCTGAACTGGATAAGCACTTAAGAAAATGTGTCAATAAATGGACATACATCAACTTACTATATTTATCCAAACAGACGGGACCAATAATGCTTCACTGAGTTAGAGACTTTAACGTCTCTTCTATGTAAGAATGTCTCGTGCTGATATACCTGCAAACTTGACAACAAAGGTTTTTCAGACACATGTACAGTGGGGCAAAAAAGTATTTAGTCAGCCACCGATTGTGCAAGTTCCCCCACTTAAAATGATGACAGAGGTCAGTAATTTGCACCAGAGGTACACTTCAACTGTGAGAGACAGAATGTGAAAAAAAATCCATGAATCCACATGGTAGGATTTGTAAAGAATTTATTCGTAAATCAGGGTGGAAAATAAGTATTTGGTCAATAACAAAAATACAACTCAATACTTTGTAACATAACCTTTGTTGGCAATAACAGAGGTCAAACGTTTACTATAGGTCTTTACCAGGTTTGCACACACAGTAGCTGGTATTTTGGCCCATTCCTCCATGCAGATCTTCTCGAGAGCAGTGATGTTTTGGGGCTGTCGCCGAGCAACACGGACTTTCAACTCCCGCCACAGATTTTCTATGGGGTTGAGGTCTGGAGACTGGCTAGGCCACTCCAGGACTTTCAAATGCTTCTTACGGAGCCACTCCTTTGTTGCCCGGGCGGTGTGTTTTGGATCATTGTCATGTTGGAAGACCCAGCCTCGTTTCATCTTCAAAGTTCTCACTGATGGAAGGAGGTTTTGGCTCAAAATCTCACGATACATGGCCCCATTCATTCTGTCCTTAACACGGATCAGTCGTCCTGTCCCCTTGGCAGAAAAACAGCCCCATAGCATGATGTTTCCACCCCCATGCTTCACAGTAGGTATGGTGTTCTTGGGATGCAACTCAGTATTCTTCTTCCTCCAAACACGACGAGTTGAGTTTATACCAAAAAGTTCTACTTTGGTTTCATCTGACCACATGACATTCTCCCAATCCTCTGCTGTATCATCCATGTGCTCTCTGGCAAACTTCAGACGGGCCTGGACATGCACTGGCTTCAGCAGCGGAACACGTCTGGCACTGCGGGATTTGATTCCCTGCCGTTGTAGTGTGTTACTGATGGTGACCTTTGTTACTTTGGTCCCAGCTCTCTGCAGGTCATTCACCAGGTCCCCCCGTGTGGTTCTGGGATCTTTGCTCACCGTTCTCATGATCATTTTGACCCCACGGGATGAGATCTTGCGTGGAGCCCCAGATCGAGGGAGATTATCAGTGGTCTTGTATGTCTTCCATTTTCTGATGATTGCTCCCACAGTTGATTTTTTCACACCAAGCTGCTTGCCTATTGTAGATTCACTCTTCCCAGTCTGGTGCAGGTCTACAATACTTTTCCTGGTGTCCTTCGAAAGCTCTTTGGTCTTGGCCATGGCGGAGTTTGGAGTCTGACTGTTTGAGGCTGTGGACAGGTGTCTTTTATACAGATGATGAGTTCAAACAGGTGCCATTCATACAGGTAACGAGTGGGGGACAGAAAAGCTTCTTACAGAAGATGTTACAGGTCTGTGAGAGCCAGAGATTTTCCTTGTTTGAGGTGACCAAATACTTATTTTCCACCCTAATTTACGAATAAATTCTTTACAAATCCTACCATGTGAATTCATGGATTTTTTTTTCACATTCTGTCTCTCACAGTTGAAGTGTACCTCTGGTGCAAATTACTGACCTCTGTCATCATTTTAAGTGGGGGAACTTGCACAATCGGTGGCTGACTAAATACTTTTTTGCCCCACTGTATGTAGCGCCGTTAGTAAAGTGAAACATGCTGAAATTAACGGCAACATTTTTCCACATTTAGCTCTAAATCTAAATGTTAAATCTAAATGTTACAGGAAACTGAATATTTAGCTAACATTTAGCAAATTTAGTCTCCATTTCACAATCGCCGCAGCACATGTAACATTTAACATTTAGATTTAACATTTAACATTTAGATTTAAATATAATATTTAGATTTAATATTTAACATTTAGATTTAACATTTAAAATTGTGTTTTAAATGTAAAAAGTTACAAATATTTTACTAAATGTTGTAAAACATGACTTGAAAAAAACATGTTTTTTTAAGGTTTTGAGCTAAATGTAGAAAAATGTTGCCGTTAATGTCAGCATGTTTCACTTTACAAACGGCGCCCCATATATATGCAGCTGTCCTCCTATGTCAGCTAACACGTTGACATTTATGTCACAATTCTGCATTTGTCTGTCTGGGTTCCTATTTTTAGAATTCTTACTTACTGGAGTTCCCCCATGAATGAAATCAGTTCTTCAGGTGACTCAGCAGTCCCACAGTGATAACTGAAACTTTACTGTGAATCTGTGGCAGCGGTGAATCATTTTACTGGTAACTTTATTAACTAGTAACTTAATTAGTCATGACAGAAGCTAATATTTCTGTCCTAACATTGTTTAAACAGTAACTGCTTTATTACAATATAAGGTAACGTTTACACCATAACGTTAAGCTAGCACCTTAAAGATGGTAAAACACGTAATAATAGGTATGTCCCAGTTCATAGGTCGAAGGACCCGGCCTTTGCGGTCTGCACGGGGTGTCCTTCAAAGACCGAGAAGGCTGGAAGTGCGAGGCTGTGAAATGGGACAGTCGAGCCTTCAGATTTGCGTCACCGCTGTCTCGGTGGAGTTTAATAAACTCAGCCATCTGCTCCTTGCTATCTAAAATATAACAGGACACTGGCGTAAATTCTCGACCATCTCACACTTCTGTTTAATCAGTTTTCTGTTTGACGTTTATTCAGCTGTGTGAAAACTATAACTTTAATCCAGCTATCGAGCCTGGAACACGTCTCAGAAACACGTCGAGCACTTTTGCAAATATGTGATGTCTTAATAAACTGAGCAGATATTTGAAGTTTACACAGCTACATTCTCACCTGAAAATATGTTAAACGTTTATTTTGTGACCCAGAATGATTAATAAGAGTAATATTGAAACTAAGTAGCTGCCTCCATTGTTGAGACTGGAATTGGCTGGGCTGCGCTTTGAATTCTGGGATAGCTTGGGCCACGAAGGACACACTCGACCCATCCGTCAAATTCAGGGAAATGAAGGACGCATTTGTCAGCCGCATTTGGAGGAATCTTTAAATGGGACAGCCTTCGTCGCCTGGCTGTGACGTAATTGGCCTTCGAATGATGCGGTCTATGAATTGGGACATACCTTTTATCTACAAATGCATCTCAAAGCTGTCTGTGAAGGTTCTCCGTCATCGAGGTCATCGTAGTCTAAGGAGCATGGAAAAAAAAACATCTGGACTTCGTTAAATTGCTTGAGGACGTTTCACCTCTCATCCGAGAGACTTCTTCAGTTCTAGGGCCAAATACTGGACTGGGACTCTGTGACTCTCCACCATTTGACCCTAGAACTGAATAAGCTTCTCGGATTAGAGGTGAAGCTAAACCAAGTGACAAGAAAAACTATGGAAACTACATGAAAACAAAAACATGAATGAATTCAAAGTAGAATAATAATTCTAACACAACTCAGAATGGAAGAACATTAATAGAAAGAATAGTAAAACTCAACCTACAATAATAATTAAAACTAAAGCTGTGGAATAATAATTACAAGCAAACTGAAAACTTTCAATAACAACCTGAAATCACAAAATAACCCATCAAGACTCACAGGCAATGACATATTTAGGACTTATGTTAAATTATGTTTTAGGTCATAAATGGTTTTAATTGCAGCTAGTGTTGTGTGCAAAATTGCAGAATCTCCATAATAAATTTGTCTAAAAGTCATAGTTTTATCAAGAGTGAGTCTTTTTGACTGGGAAAAACATAAACCTGCCACTTTTACTTATCCAAAATGTCTGATGAGGTTCCTTTGCTGGAATGGAGCATTTTCTTCATTCCAAACATGATGCTGCTAATTTAAAGCAAATGACCTGCTAATTACAATACATTTGAAAATATCTCGACTTTAATGACAAAGTATAAAGTAGTATTGCTTCTGATAACAACCTCAGAGACTTTAAACCTTTAGGGGTGCATTTACTTTGCTATCTGTGGTAAACGAACGTCTGTGTAACATATACAACCATGGTGAGAGCGGAAAAACTGCGCGTTCACTTCTTAGAGAGGAAAATAAATATAGGTGTTACCATAATTTTACATGAGATATCCTGTGGCATTTTAGAATAGAATAGAATAGAATAGAATTCAACTTTATTGTCATTGGACATGTCACAAGTACAAGGTAACGAAATGCAGTCAGAGGATATCATAATCGACTACATTACGGTTCTTTCACAAAAACAACTGTGTATTCTTGCGATCTTAAATTGTATTCTTGAATTGATTTACCACCTTTAAAAATATTTGCAAAGCTGATTTTCCTCAAATATTTGAAACATTTAATTCAATTGCTGGAAATGTGTTGTACATAAAAAACAAAAATGAGATCTAGACAAAACAGTTTATTTTACTGAAAAATAATTAAAAAGACAGAAAGCATCAACTATGCACTTACTATCAAAAATAAGGGAAATCTGAATAAAAAGCCTTTAATTATAGTTAGACAGCAGAACAACAATGAGGAGGCTTGAATTCAAATGCTCAAAGTATAGATATACAGTATATACAACATAATCAAAATTGACTTTCAGCGTGTGTACATACATGTGACATGCTATTAACATTAACCTTCTATCAGCAGTGAAGCATGCAGCATCATATCCTGTTTGTTTTCACACATTCAAGCTGCAAACCTCCCATGCATGACACCATGCAACTACATCACAAATGCAATAACTCGTCTTTCAGGTATTTTTTAAGTATTATTTTTGCTTTTTAGTAAAAAGCAACATTTTTGTGTTTCTTACAAAAGTCTCAGATGAGTCTCAGATGAGGCGTACTCCTCATGTTCATCGGCACATTTCAAGTATCCGTGACTGAAGTTTGGTTAGAGGTGTACAGACTAGTGACAGCTTGGCGAGCTTGTTGGAGTAGCTGTCTGAGCTGAGAACAAATATCTTCACTTACATGCAGGTAAACTAGAGGATTGAGCGCACTGTTCAGACACACAAGGCCACGGCTTATCTGATGACCAATATAGACTCCATTAGACCATTTATGACATGTCCCCTTGATTACGCTTAGTCTTGACAAGAGGTTGAGATTTTTTAATATATGATAGGGGATGTAACAAACAGAGAACAGAAGAATCAAGATGAATAACAACTTTAAGCTTCTTTGTTTCAGTACTTCATCAATGTTATCATTGTGGCAGAGAACAGCAATCATATGTCCATAGCAGCTGAGGGTGATGAACAGGGGGATGCAAAAACCAGTGAGTGTCCATCCCAAACTGTATTTCAGATAATCTTCAATGTACTTTTCAGAGGTGGTATCAAAACACTTCTTAGTATTGTTTATGGGTGATTTGGGGACGAACATGTCTGGAAGACTTTGAACACTCACCAGCAGCCAGACCATGACTGAGATAGCCACAGAATGAGTCACAGTTATTCTCCCCATCATCCTCATTGGATGGACAATAGCCAAGTACCTGTACACACTGATACAGGTGAGGAATCCAATGCTGCCGTATAAATTCAGGTTGAAGAAGAATCTTGTTGTCTTGCAAAAGGCTTCTCCAAAGATCCACTGATCACCCTTGAAGTAGTACACCATCAGAAAAGGGAGTGTGAGCAAATACAAAATGTCTGCAAGTCCAAGGTTGAAAACGAAAACAGAGACATTCCCCAGTTTCTCCCATTTCTGCAGCACTGACCTCAATCCCAGTCCGTTAGCCACCATGCCAGTGATGAATACTAAAATGTAGACAGGTGGCAGGAATTTTCCTGTAAAGTCAAAGCTGATGCAAGAGTTGTTCATCGTGTCCTTCCTTGATAGCAGTCGGTACAATTCCTCCTCCTCGATGAGTGAGAGCCTTCACTGCACAGATCAAAGCACACACACATTTATACACTTCCTGAGTTGCGTCTGTGAGCTATGAGATAACTGACTCACCTCTTTCACTGAAAACAGGAAAATGTAACCATGCAGGAGTGGCAGTTTTCACACGTTTATACACTCTGTTGTTTGCTCTCATCCTGACAAAGCCATATGAGAAGTGAAAAGTGAAATAAGTTCAGCTCTAGTTTTTAGCCTATGCTTCCACAGTCTGAATCTCTGGGTTTTTAACATTTATCTTATGCCTGTTCTACAGCGTGGTTCTGTCCTGTCTGTTTAGCAACAATGAGACTGCTATGCAACAGAAAATGACCACACAATTAGCTTGTAAAAGCAGTTTCAAAACTTAAATTAACAAACCAGAAAATCATTTGTGTGGATGTTACTCTAACACATACTGCCCATATTGATACTGTCCCAGCCTTACCCCAATGGTAGTGTGTTCCCCCAGTAGCACACTGCTCCCCCATCTCCTTTGGGACCTGTGCGTAGCACTGTGGGCAGACTTACAAAGCAGAGAGAGGTCCACAGTGTACCCACAGTATAGCATGCATTTCCATTCTGCCCTTTGTCTTTGACACAGATGGCAGCAGATCTGGTGCAGTGCTAGCCCAGGTGTTACCTGGCGGGGAGAAAGTGGTGGCATACCATAGTCGGGTCTTCAACAAAGCTGAATGCTGCTATTGTGTCACAAGGCGGGAGCTGCTCGCAGTGGTATGTGCCATACACCACTTTAAGTACTACCTCTGGGGCCTCCACTTTACGGTCAGAACTGACCATGCTGCCTTGCAATGGCTCATGCAGCTAGCACGCTGGATTGAGAAGCTGCAGGCTTATGATTTTGAGGTTGTACACAGACCTGGGGCCCAGCACAAAAATGCAGATGCGCTTTCCCGAAGACCCTGTGCCCAAGACGGATGCCACTACTGTGAGAGGAAGGAAGCTCAGGAGGAGGACCAATTGGTGCCTGATGTAAAGTGTGCTGTGACAGGGGTAGAGGAACGGCCATCGCCTCTGTCAGTGCGCCCCAGGGCAGCTGTGGCTACAATGTAGCTTGCCATCGCCAGTGTGTGAATGTGTGTGTGAATGGGTGAATGACTGAATGTAGTGTGAAGCGCTTTGGGGTCCTTAGGGACTAGAAAAGCGCTATACAAATGCAGGCCATTTACCATCTGGTCAGAGGCTGGTTGCTGTGGATGCAACAGAGTAGAGACATCAATAGGAGGAGGATGCTGACATCAAACCAGTGCTTGGGTGAACTGAGGAACAGCGACAACCCCATGTTGTCACGGGCCACAAAGGGACTCTGGTCCATGTTTAATGCCTTGTGGCGGTACAATGGAGTACTGCAAAAGGGCTGGAAGGAACCAGCTACTGGCAAGATGAGGTGGCAGTTGGTGGTCCCGCGGGCCCTGCAGGAGATGGTGCTTCGCGCAGTGTATGGGGCCCCAGGGTCTGGCCACTTTGGTGTCACCAAAACACTCCGCCGCCTCCGGCAGGGATTCTGTTGGGCCCAACATAGGCGGAATGTAGAGGAGTTTTGCCGCTGCTGCGACAGCTGTACAGCACAAAAGTGGCCTACAGCCAAATCCCATGCCCAACTGCAACAGTTTTCGGTAGGGTACCCTATGGAGAGGGTGGGGATGGACATTCAGGGTTCTTTTCCCCGCACAGAAAGGGGAAACCGCTGTATCCTCACAGCTATAGACTATTTCACAAAGTGGCCAGAGGCATACAGTTTACCTGATCAAGAGGCCAAGAAGATTGTGGATGCTCTGGTGGAGGGGATGTTCAGCAGATTTGGGGTGCCTGAAGTAATCCACACGGACCAGGGCAGGAACTTTGAGTCCCGTGTGTTTGCAGCCATGTGCGAGAAACTAGGCTCCCATAAGACCTGTACAACACCCCTCCACCCACAGAGTGATGGTCTCGTTGAGAGATTTAACCATACACTGGCAGAGCAACTGGCGCTAGTGACGGCTAAACATCAACGTGACTGGGACACTCATATTCCCCTGGTCCTCATGGCATATCATTCAAGACTCCACTTCGTGCTCCCTTGCCTCTTGATGTTGGCCAGGGAGATCCGGACTCCAGCGGAGATGATGATGGGCCGACCCCCCGATGCTGATGGGGATCAATCAGGTCCTGACTATGCGAGGAAGCTCCAGGATCGCATGGAGTCAGCTCATGACTTTGCTAGGAGGAAACTGATGAGTGCGGGGGTGCGGCAGAAGAGGAACTACGACGTCCATTCCAGAGGCCGACATTTTGACATCGGGGAACTGGTCTGGGTGTACAACCCCTATAGGAAAAAGGGTAGATGCCCTAAGCTGGACAGTGACTGGGTTGGACCCTGTAAGGTTCTGGAACGCCTGTGGGAAGTGGTGTATAGGGTACAACTGCCCCCAAGGGGACGGAGGGTCACCCTGCACCGGGACAAACCGGCCCCCTATTGGGGCGCGGCCACTTCACTGGGATAATAGGGTGGGCCACGGACAGATCTGGACTCCACCCCTACAGACTCCACCACCATTGTGACACACAATGATGGTGGCCAGTCAATCAGATCAGCTACCAGTGACAGAGAGTCTGGAGGAGAGCATGTGTGTGGTTGGCTGAGAGTGTTTGGGGGGCGGGTGTTAGAGAATGTTGTTGTGGGTGTGTGCGGAAAAAAGGAGCGAGAGTCAGGGGGGGTTGTTTTGATTCTGGAGACTGCATTTTTCCCTGTCGTTTTGTTGTTGGCTACGGCCCACAGTAGCCTTTGTTACTATTCTTAATAAACACCGGTAACCGGAACACGGATCGTGTCTGTCTTCTGTCGGAGGGACGCTACAAGATAATTGGACTTTTAATAGAGATCACATTCACTTTTTTCATTTCAGAATGTATCTTTATATTCAGCTGCTCATGAACCCACAACATCCTTATATCTACCACTGTAGCTTTCTAAGCATACTAGGTATTTTTAAGTGAACTGAAAAAAACCCTTAAAGGAACAATAAAGAAATATAACACATTAAGCCAGTATCATAATAAGAGTTATTAAAAGTTAAATTTATCCACAAAGCTGCAAAAGGATTTTCTTGTTGATTTTAGTGTGTATATTGGTGTGCTACAAGCAAGTTTTAACAGCTCATCAGCAGCAGAAAGTCATGACAGATGAAGTGACATAATTAAAAGCTACAGTTTGAACAATGTAACTATTTGTACAAACATAATAACCACAAAAAGCACAAAATCCAGTGGGAGTAAAAATACAGGGCATACTTTAAAAAAATCACTGTACATGAGACACCTCTTTACAGTTATTTACATCAGAATAATAAATGAAAGTGCAATGTAATCCCATTATGACACACACACACACACACACACACACACACACACACACACACACACACACACACACACACACACACACACAAAGTTCAAAAGTTAAAAGCTGCATTGCTCACGTCAGAGAATATCTAGAAATTGTCATTACAAAAGTTGTAATCGTTCTGTGGGTTATGTCTTTAACAAATACATATTTCTACATCACTGAAAGTTGAATTTATAGACACAAGTTACAAGTTAGAAATAAAAAAATCAGTCTTTAAAAGTATGTTCATGACCAGTTGACATCATGGTCAACTGTCTTTAAGTTATAATATAGATTTTAGGTGACATGCTTCTCTTTTTACAGGCCAGATTTCAACAATATTGGATGAGTTTAATTTGATCCATTTTCCCAAAACTGAATTATAGTATATCTACGTAGTGTTTAACTTTAGCCTAAAGATTTGGGAAAAGTCAAGATGTTTTCAGTGATTTTAAAATATTGCTTTTGATATCCAAGGCGAAACATTATTGGGGATCACTGTACTGAACAATTCTGGGAGGAAAAAAGAAACCAAATCAGTGCACATCTGAAAGTTATTTGTAAAAGTATTTCTAGAACTTACTTTGTGAGTTATACATGTATATTACAGTCCCTAGCTCTCCTACATTTATGTTTCTTTTCTCCCTTTCTTGTAAAACACGTCTACTTGTTTTCTATTGACTCTCAGATGAAGTCACAAACTGGCAGAATGATGCTTTCCAGAAGTTGTGAGCTGTAAATAAGTGCAGACATATTCATCCAAAATCACAGTTTTCTAAAATAATAATATTCTCTTTCAGTGTCCATTTGTTGTTTACGTCAATCCACCTGGGGATACTTTTATTGTGAAGCCATTGAAACATTCACTGAAGTCTATAGTTTTAGTGAGTCCGTGCTCTTACACACTGATCAGGGTCTGTATCCCCACAGAGCGGGATTTGTAAAAGGTGCATAGGGGCAGTTATTATGACAGGCGCATGACTGGATCATCATTACAGCTCGTTGCAGCAGTCTGCCAGTGGGACATCGGAAGGTCACCTCAGCAGTGCTGGTTTGGTAAGGTGTGCAGCATCGCGAGTCAGTGCACTGACCACAGTAACGGACTCGGTAGGCATGAGTGCTGTAGCAGCCCTGGTGAACTAGCCGAATGGGTCCCGGTGACGTGTAGCTGGCCTTGCAATTTCCTTTCTGTCCCCACTGAAACAACAGTGAGAAGAAGAAGAAAAAGCAGGTAATCAGTGTAATGATTCAGTAAGGCTAAAGATTCAAGATGTTTAGGTAGACTTCATGACAATATGCATTTTTTAATATATTTTATCTGCACATCAGTAACATAGGCCTACAAAACCTCTAAAAAATCTCTAGAGCCTCAAAGCCTCTAAAAATAATTGATGGTAAAAACAGTGGTTAAAAAAAAAGGTCAGTGAAAGGTTGTAGTTCACTTAGTTAACGAGTATAAACATTGACTGCAGATTTACAGGAAGGCCGACTCCACTCTGCTGCATGAAAGTGGGACCCACAGTTTTTCAGTGACTAGTGGGAACTACTTTATAAAGTCCCTTTTAGTACTTTTAACACTGAAATGTTAAAAATTTTTTTAATGTAGTCTGGGTTTCGAGGAACCCCTCCCCCATCTGATTGATGAAATCTGTTTTAGTATCGTTCTGTGTCAAAAGGCAGACGAGAGAAACGAAACAAAAAGTAGAATTGTTCTGTCACAGCTTCATTGTGGTGTCTAACTAGACAGATTCTTATCATTGTTTTCGTAGTTGCCTTAAAATGTCTTTTTACCTTTTGTGATATTGTGTTAAAAATGATGACATGTCTCTGCATACTTTGTGTGACCCGGTGAACTTTCTCGTTACAGTTTTGAAAGAAGCAATACGTGAAACTGAAATCAAAGGTAAAACCTGACAGTACGTGTAAATGTACACATTTACAGGATGTGGGTTTTGTTAGCGCTCACCATGGGCTTCCTTGGGGCCGGCTGGAAAGTGTGGCAAGGTCGCACCTTACACAGGCGAGTTTCTATTTGCAGTTTGCATGCAGGATTCTGGTTAGAAACCCGTGTGGAGACCCCCGCCCCACAGCTCTGGGAACAGGCACTCCACTGGGTGCTCTGCTCTACACAAGAGGAGGCAGGCGAAAACTTGTTGTTTTGAAGGTGATGCCTCTGCAAAGATGGCCATAACTGATCCGGTTTCATTGCTGGGTGGGGAGGGAAACCAAACAAACCAATGAGTACAATAAGAGGAAAATTCATGTCCAACGTTCATGTTGCGTTAAGTAGACAAATGTGATTCTAGTCTTTGTGAAAATTTAGCACTTATTAAACTTCTTAATGAAAGTTTAAATTAATCAATAAATGTATTTATCTATTCATTTACTTTAATAAAGCTTATTACCTGTTTTCTTAGCATATAAACTATATAAAGTATTGCAATTATCTATGCATAGTGTGTTACACCCACGGCTCCAACACCATTGTGAAGTTTGCTGACGACACAGTGGTGTTGGGTGCCATCTCCAACAACGATGAGGCGGCCTACACGGACGAAGTGAAGAATCTGGCATCATGGTGCCAGGACAACCATCTCCAGCTGAACATTGGCAAGACCAAGGAGCTGGTGGTGGACTTCAGAAGGAGTCAGCACAGAGACTACAAGCCCATTATCATCAATGGAGCTCCAGTGGAGAGGGTGCAGTCCTTCAAGTATCTTGGTGTCCACATCTCCTCAGACCTGACATGGTCTGTCCACATTCAGGTCCAGACCAAAAAGGCTAGGCAGCGCCTGTATCACCTACGACAACTGAGGAAGTTCAGGGTCTCTCCAAAGATCCTCAGGATTTTCTATACAGGCGCTGTGGAGAGCATCCTCACACAGAACATGACATCGTGGTTTGGGAACAGCTGTGTGAAGGACCAAAAAGCTCTCCAGAGAGTGATCCGTACAGCAGAACGCTGCTGCAGGATTGCTCTCCCCCCGTTTCAGGACACCTACACCAGGAGATGCCGGACTAGAGCAGCACAGATACTGAAGGACCCGTCCCATCCTGACAACAAACTGTTCCAACTTCTGCAATCTGGTAGAAGGTTCTGCATCATCCGGGCAAGGACAGAGAGACTCAAGAGGAGCTTCTTCTACACAGATGCCGTTCTTCATGTGCCCTGATGGGCTGTTTTTATTTTAATCTGGGCAACTTTTTTTTTTCATTTATAGTAAGTGTATTATAATGAGCAGCTTTTTCCTTTACGGTAGTCAATTATCACATGATACTGCTCAGCCAATCAAATAATTTAGCACGGGGAAAACAGCTTACTGAGTAGACGTGATGCAGAACAGGAAACTGAGAGTAGAAGGGGTAAAGCTGAGATGGTTTATATGTAGAAGCTAAGAAGAAAAAACAGAAGGGGGGGACTCAAACTACACCTTTCATTATTTTTAAATCAGTTTATTTGAAGACAACTTTATCAAAAGCTCTTTCTCATTATTGAATGCAAACCTTATTATGCTTGGAATTAGCAAAGAACTTTTTAGTATTATATTATTATTAGAATAAGATAATAGTAAAGATTGTTGAAATACTGTTGAATTGTATTTTCTTTTGTTTGACAGTTCCTGACTATATACTGGCATCGATACAACTGTGTACTGCGTACTTCAAAATATATTGCATTTACTTAGAGTGTGGGACTTTATGATGTTGTGGACCCTTGTTTGAGGAAATTTTCTCAGTGGACCTCCTTAAATTTCAATTGAATATCCCTGCTCTTGCTGAAGTGATTAATCACTGTGGGATCCTGCTTTGAGGTGGCCTATTGCTAACTACCTGAGCTGCTGAGCTACACAAATACTGGAAATGCATCAAACCTTTAGATCAAATTCTAAATGCACCAAAACTAAAACAACAACAATCTGAGACTGCATCATTTCATCAATGCTGACGATTCCCTGCCTACCATACAGGAATTTAGTCCTGAAACCAGGATATCTAGATGCAAATGAGTTTGGCATATTTTAGGGGAAATGAAAACCATCTCTCTAAGTTTTTATTTAAATTTGTGTCAAATCTTGCCAACTGCAATAATCCTTCCAACTCTAAAAGTTACTTTTAAGTTGGGCAAATCCCCACGTTTGCCAAAACGTTCATGGAGATCTTTTCATAACTTCTGAATATTCACACTACCAAACAAACAACTACCAGTGCAGAACTGTTCACAATCTAAGCAGCTGACTCCTCTCATTACCTCAGCACTTACATATTTATGGTGATCAGCCTGCTTATATAGCTTCCTCTTAATCCAGCTTCCCAACAGAGTTTAAAAACCTTTATTTTAAAGTAAAGTAAAATGGATCCTGTTTGGACTTTTTCACCTCTCTGGTTCTTTTTTTGCTCACATCAAATTTTAAAGCTACATTTAGTGCATTTTTGTGCAAATAAAAGCCACAAAACTAACACGTAGAAGTCATAATAACCGGCTAACTTTCAACGATGACACAGTAGGTTTTGTATCGAAGCACAAAATGTTCCTTTGCTGTTCTCATAACTTAGTTTGAGTCAGACAGTGTTTGGAATTCCAGATGTTTTCAGACTGGCTTCATTTCCCCAACACCCATCTCATGTGCTCACACACTCCCCCTTTAATGAAGTAATGAGGTCTTGACATGGCTTCATATATTTAATTGTCACACAGCTTTGGTTGTTGTTATGAAACTGAGAAGCATGGTGACTGAGGGGAAAAAGGATGTTTTCACCCACAAAAATGTGGTTTATATTTGGATTTGGGGAGTTTTCCTTTGGCTTGACACACCCCGTTTAATGCACAAATACTCCAGTAAAAACTTCCAGACATGACCGCCGGTAACAGAGCTCATAAAAAGGAATGAAGGATTATATTACATATGGATTGATCATCAGTGAGGAGCAACTAAGACTCATACTCTACATGAACATACGTTTGGCACTAGAATCCAGACACTGGAAAATATGTTGTAGACATCCAGCTCTGATGTCAGGAAAATTTAAAGGAATCATTAAACATGTCAGGCTAGCTCTTTTCCCCACCTGTAAAACATCAAAATACATCTGTATCAGAGAGTCATGCATCCATTACCTGTAATTGCATCCTGAATGACCGTGTTTTCAAGGTTTTCACACACCCATTCCTTGCAGCATTTCCCAGGTAGTCGGATGTATTGTGGGTTGGGACAGTCTGGAGTGGGAAGACGAGCATTCAGTGGACAAGCTGGGACGCAGGTCACCCCGCCCCCCCTGCAGCGGCAGTAAGTGTCACAGGAGGGCTGGAACGACTGCCCCTCCTGGTAAAAGATCCCACTGACCTCACAGCCCAGATCCTTCTGACCTGTTAGAAACACAGACGTTGTCTTTGCTTATCCATTGATGTGGAAACTTAATCAGGAAATGGACAGATTAAGTTAGGTGGAAGAAGCAGAAGAAAACAAGAGAGAGTTGAGGACACAGGAGCTGCTGTGTCCCCTGCAAGTGCTTGCATCACCTTATGGAAAAGCAAGTCTCTTCAGTGAGACACTGTTAAGTTGTTTTTCATTTGGAGTGTTGTCTCTGCAATTTATCATGCTCATGGGTAATTATTACAGGAAATGTGTCAAGAGCAGTCCTGAATCCACTCAGCTAAGCAGACTCTAACATTAAGTGTCAGTCTGTGTGTCCCAGTCATGCAAACTGGCTGAGGCTCTATCTACTCCCTCCCTATGTGTCCTCCACCCTTATAGCCTACCCACACAGACATGGGCCTGGTTGTTTGCTTGTTAGAAGTGACACTCACTGACACACTCCCCAGGTAACCCAGGGAAGCTGGCGCTGTAGTCGCACTGAAGCCCTCGCAGGTTGTCACAGGGAAACATCTCAGTACAGGACTCGCCTAGTTGCCGGGCACACACCTGGCAACACCGGCAGCCATCCAGCACCAGGGGTACTCCTGTGGGGCACTGAGGGACAGGATTGGGGCAAAGGCATGGCCTGTCACACAACTGGCACAGCACCTGGAGGAGCAAGAAAAATAACTTAGAAGGTATGACAATACGACAAAACCTGAAAAGATGAGAGAAAATCATCATAAATCAGTCTTATGATGTTATGATCATTCCAGTACCAAAATTATTACTCTCATTCCTTAAGAAATGAAGCAAAGAAAATATTATAAGCATTCTCAGAAGCTGAATCGGTATCCAACGCAGTAAAGCACTGCTTCCAATTACATGTGTCTGAAGGAGCCAAAACACAGGCGAGGTCTGGCCAAGTCCACTTTCACTTTACAAGAGAAGCCTTCAAGGTTTTACAACAAAGTTACTGTAAAGAAATGCAGTCAACAACTTTTCAAATACATAACTGCAAAAAAACACAGGTGGGACTTCTTATTCATATTTTACATCATATTCAAGGGAAAAAATGTAGTCCCCCCTTTTATGTTGTAAGAGTTTTCTGTCTGTATTTGTGATGTTACCATAACACTGAATGTCTACTGGTTTCTAACAGTCGGCTACACAAAACGAGGAAGTTGATGACAAGTAAAGTGTGATTTCACTTCAATTTCTGGCATTTGATCAACCAAAAAAAGACATTAACAACTAGATAAAAATAAAAATATTAACAACAGTCTTGCTTGTCTAATACATCACCTTTTCTTGATGGATGACTTTAATCATCTCATCTTTATTTCAAATCATTGTAATAAAATCAAGGCAAATGTCGTCTTTCTTTCAGAAAACATTAACAAATACTTTAAAAAGGAAATGTATTGATCAATGAAGGAAGAAAACAAACAATTCAGCATTACATACCTACAATACTCTCTGATAAAAGTCTCATTCAGAATCGATTACTGTAAATAAGCTGGAGGAGGCCTCACCTGTGTAGTCACACACAGCAGTACAGCCAAAGCAATCACACAGTCACACAGTTGTCGGTCCATGGGGGCTTGTGTTGCTGATGGAGCTCGGTCTGTCTCAGTGAACTGTGTGACGGTGTGGTGTGACCAGTGCAGCTGTTTGCTAACTGCTCCTTCTTGCGCCGCCTGACATTTATAAAGTCTGGACGCTGATGTCACGGGCTGACTACTGTGTAAACAGCAACTGGACTAGTATCAGATGTTTTACATTCCTCCTCCCTGCTGCCCATTTCCACTTCCATACACACACTCTTTTTCCTCTCCTCCCTCTCTTTCCAGTCTTGCGGGGTTCTAAGTTTGCACAGCTTCACATAAGCTAAGGAGAGAAAAATACATTAGCAAGGTTGTCAACAAGTCAAACAACTTCCAGGGCTTTTGTGGTAACAATTCTGATTTAAGTGGAGAAGAATTTATGTAGCTTATGTTTACATAATCTGCTGGTCAGTCAGATATAGTTCATCTTTTCACAGAATGAATATAGAGCAGATATTTTCACGGTTTTTCATTCCCAGATCCCTCAAATGCTTGTGAAGCCCAAATATGTTGAGGGGTCAGACTTAAAAGAGACTTAATCCTTCTCTTAGCTGTGGTTTCCATGGTGTAAAGGTGGCATGTCTGAGGTTTGCATGAATTTGAATCATTGTGATCTCTTGAATGGGAACCTGAAGGCAAAAAGCAGAAAGAAAAGTGGCAGATGAGACAAATTCAGTTTAGCTTGAATACGAAGTACATGAAGTACTAACCAGGAATTTGAAACGTGAGGCTTATTTGAAATCACTATGATGGTGTTGTTCTTAAACATCATAATTAACGTCAGGACAGGACCATCACTGCAAGCATGTTAATGTGATGTAATACCTTTGTGACCTGTGGAAAAACACAGCAGCTGCAAAACCTTTTGGCAGAAACACTTTAAATCCAAAAACCTTTCTGATGTCTATTGAGGTGATATAAAGAGCAACAAAAAGTTAGTGTAAGAGTCAGAATGTGGTGGATAAACAATTCCATTTCATTTGGGAAACTGGACAAAAAGGTCAGCTGTGATTTTTGTTGACTTCCTCTTTTTCAATATTATTTTCATTTTCAGTTGCAGTTTCGTTATGTTCAAGCAAACAAAGCCCAGAAGTTTGAACTAAAATAAACATTTTAACAAATCCCAAATGTGTTGGAAAGTCAACTTCACGCTCACTCACACCCAACACAGTTTCAAAAAGTTTTAAGACTAGTTTTAGATGAAGTATTTTTCATCATTTACAAAGTTGTGACATCACAACAACCATTTGGTCAAATTCACCTGTGAGACTTGAGCAGTTTTAAGTCTTATGTTCCAGGAATGACACCAACATGGTCATAACAGACTGTAACAAATGAATGAATATGGAATTGCAAAAAAACCAAAACAAAACTGCAGTGAGCCAATATTCAGAAATACCCACTTTAGAACACCCAGCCTCTCAGCAGAAATAAATATGTTTACAGCCTAACACAAAAAGTCACTTTGCATTTTAGCTGCACAGCTCAGGTCGAGTGGTTTAGAGATAAAGAAGAGTTGCTTTGGACATATGCAGAGGATGGACACTGGATGCACTAGGCCAGGGGTCTCGAACTCCAGGTCTTGAGGGCCGGTGTCCTGCAGGTTTTAGATCTCACCCTGGGTCAACACACCTGAATCAAATGATTTGTTCATTACCAGGCCTCTGGAGAACTTCAAGACATGTTGAGGAGGTCATTTAGCTATTTAAATCAGCTGTGTTGGATCGAGGACTGCAGGACACTGGCCCTCGAGGCCTGGAGTTTGTGACCCCTGCACTAGGCAAAGGATGTTGACTACAGAGCTGTTAAGCAGGAGGAAAAGAGGAAGACCCCAAAGAAGGTTTCTAAAATTCAGGAGGCTATGCAGAGGGTTAGATAGAGCTGGAGGCAGATGATCCATCATGGTGACCTCTAAAGTGAAGCTGTATCACAGGGTAAGCCCGTTATCACCCTTGCTAACTCTAAACCAGGCGTGGGCAACTCCAGGTCTTGAGGGCCGGTGTCCCTGGAGGTTTTAGATGTGTCCTTGAACCAACACAGCTGATTTAAATGGCTAAATGACCTCCTCAACATGTCCTGAAGTTCTCCGGAGGCCTGGTAATGAACTAATCATGTGATTCAGGTGTGTTGACCCAAGGTGAGATCTAAAACCTGCAGGACACCGGCCCTCGAAGCCTGGAATTGCCCACCCCTGCTCTAAACGGTACTATCCTTCACAAAATAAACATCAGCATTTCTGATAAGACTTAGACCATGAACTCATTAGGAACCTTCCAGATATCTGTACAACAAGATTTTATTTTGAAACTGGAAGTTTTGCCCCTGTCAACCATTAGAAAGAATCCAGTTTTAAGACACTTCCCCATTAATTAGGGCTATAACTTGTGTTACAATTCACTCTGAGAGGACATGAGCAAGCAAAACCACCAAGTTACTGGTTAGACATGATTCATAACCACAATCGTTACATCATGATGGCAGCAAAAGTAAAATCAGCAGATTACCAAAGCAATTAAAAAACTGTTTAGTAACCAAGTTGGTTTCAGTTTTTTTTCTCCAATCCTTCATGCCAGTGTGGTGATATTTCCCTGAGTAAGCAGGAGCTTTGACCTGTTTCTACAGCAACGTTAAGAACATATCTCACAAAAGTGACATTAAATTAAAAAAACATTTTTTACCACTATTATATACACAAATTATAACAATTATTCGTGTTGTGGCCACATTTGTAAAAAATATAGCAAAAAGATTGCAGACAGTCATCAATTGAAAGTAATTCATCATTATAAAAGAATTCAGTCTAAGGTAAACTAGGAACAGATGACTAAGATTCAACAGTACCCATTTCTCACATGCCTGGACGGTTATGCTAGATGAAAATCAGTGATTCATCAGGAAGAAATCACTATGTGTGCTTAATTTCATTTGGATGTTGAAATGTTAAGTCTGAATCAAGAAGTTTTGTTTTGATTCTAGAAATAAATATAATTTGCTTTTATAGCACTGTTACACAAAATATAACAACAACACAGTCAAAGCCACAGCGTCCCTTGACCTAAACAAAAATACTCAAGCCATTGACTTAAATAGAAAGCAAGCCTTTCATTAGAAAACAATTCAGTCAGAGGAACACTAGGAATAGATTCCTAAGTTTCAACATCAGCTTTTTCTCACATTATATGGGTGGGCAAGAAAGACATCCAGTCATAACTTATAAATAAAAGGAGACAGACATAAAGATAGAGAAGAGGAAAGAATGTGTGTAGCTTACAGGTGGACTCCAGGTGGCCTGCCAGTATGAACATACTGCTGGGGCTCAAACTGAGCTTTCTCTGAAACTATGCTTTCCTGGCCGCTACCATGTGCTTTCCATGCCCTCCAGAAATGACCGAACCTGGAAGGATTGCATTGTAATAGCTGCTAGCACCACTGTAACATGCAGCAAGTTTAAGCAACTAAAGCCATAAACATATGTATAAAAAGTAGAGGAAAAATATGAGGTTTAAGCTGAATATGGGCAGCAAGTTCACAGACTGTCCGTCAAGCTTCATTATTCTTGTTCTTTGATCAAATATGTATGAAAGGGATGTAGTCAGCCAGTATCAGACACAGTGAAATCATATCTGCCAATTTAAACTGAGACTAGCAAAAAAGCCTCAACACATTTTTCCAAAGCCTACAGATGTTGGAAATGTCCCAGACAGTGAAGTATCACTCTCAGTCGCAGTGAACTCCTTTGAAGAAACCCCCAAATCCAAATCCTGCACAATAACCCCCATTCAGTTTAGGCGAATATTGTTTTGGTATGTGACGGTATGCAGGAAAGTCTTTTGGATTCCTTGTTGATTTATGAATGCAAAACCTACAGGGCAAAGTAGTGAAAATATTATTTGTCCTATAAATGTTACTAAAGAATTCATTGATCTGTGTGCTGAAAGAAAGCCCGGTCACTCTACCAAATCTGTCACTGTGAACCAGAAATGTCTAACACATGTTCAGGGAGAGTTGTCCAACAACCCCAAAATTCCTCAGCGTGCAAGTAATACAAAATACAAGGCAGGTTTAGTCTGTGGTGCAGATACTTTGTGCTGATACTCTGACATTGTAAAGTTCTTTAATCATATTTACACATGTGAAAATCAAATGGGCGTGATTTGTCTGAAATCAGACAGTACCCTGCACTCATTAAGGTTAAAAAGCGCTTCCACATTATTGTCTGTGAAGGTTCTCAGTCATCCAGGTCATCGTAGTCAAAGGAGCTTGCAAAGAAGAAGAAGCTTCTCGGATGAGAGGTGAAACATCTTCAAGTAACTTAAAGAAGTCCAGACGCTTTTCTTTGCAAGCTCCTTTGCCTTCCACATTATTCTTTTTTTATTCTTACTTGAAAATTAATCAATTTAAATATCTGATTGGCAGCTGAATATTGTTTTTCCATGTAGACGACACATCACAGAACCTGTTACACGTGTTTATTCCCATTAATTAACTAAATTAACAGCTCAGAAAACGTGTGGTGGAAACGGTTTGTTTGCTCTCTGAACAAATGTATGATTTGTTTTGTTTCTTATTTATGAAAATGAACAACTTTAAAACACAGCATTCAGCATCAGGAAATATAATAACATGTGTATATGTTAATATCACGTTTTAATGTGTATGTAAATAAACTGCACACTGAATTTGTTCTTCTTCCAAAAATAAGTTTTTGTAGCATCAACAGTTGACCGAGACAATATTTAGCTTTGCCAGTTTGTGGGTTTGGGTGGTGCCAACTAGCTGCCTGTGGCTGATTTAAGTGTCTCAGAATAAACATGGTTTGTGCTGTAAAAGCCCTGAATAATACTAAAATCTTCTCCCAGAACAACATTTGTCACGTATTCAATGAAATGCAGAGCACTTCAATTGGTGTCTAAGGTTTTGGCTCTTAGAGTCACTGAAAGTTTGCACTGGCAGGTTTGTCTCTGCCACATCTGCAGGTACTCTTTGAACAAGGTGGGCAAATCAGCCTTGAGTGCTGGAACTTCCACAAATAGCAAAAACATCCGACTTGCTGTCTAGTCATAGTTGACTTTACTAAGCTATACTGAGTCATTATTCCAGGATCGCCACCACACCCTGCAGAGGTCACAGACTGAGCAGTCCTCCATCCAAAACAAAATAAAACCTCAAACTGCCTTTTCTGTTATGTCTGATTCCTTCGGCTCTGGTGCACCTCCCCTTAGATTGTCAATAACACCGTCTTTCAGTGATGCTGAAAAACTTCTGAACACATTTCTAATTTACTGAATGAAAACTCAAGGATGCAGAGCAGGGGCTCATGAAAAATACAGTTGTCAAAAGCATCTTTCTAATATGTTTGTTCAGAAGATGCTGGATGATTTCAGCAAATGCCTTTTTTTCTGGTGTATGGTTCATTAATAGTTTTTTAGGTGGCTATTACCTGTCTTGCTCTCTTTCTATCACATAAACTATGGATGAATGAAATACACAGTCCTGATTTCTTTCCTAGTTGTACGACCACATAAGTTGTTCCCACCAGCCACGACTGCCTAACTGGTACAAATCTCAGAAGCAGCCAAAAAGTGCAGCTTAAAAAAATACTTTCATAAACTTCTTCAATACGAAGAAAACAGACAAGATGAAGGGCTGAACATTTAAGCAGATGTAAAACGTTCCCAAATATTTATTGAAGTGAAGCACAATAAAAGTGCTTTCAGCCCTCAAGTCCATGTGTTTCCTCTGAAATACCTTCTGCAGAGGAAGTGCCACAGGTGCAGTGCACAGCTATTACATGATGTAATGTACAACTTAGATTGAATAAAGAGGTCTACATCTATCCAAAATAAACAACTGAGACATGATTTAATTCTGCCAAGACACTTAGCCAGACACTAAATAGAGTAATTACCAAAGTTCCACACACCAGTATCTAAAAATGTCCTAAGACAGAACTGAAAACCACAAAATGAAAACCATACCAGTGAGAAAGAATTTTGATGTATGATTTAACATGATAATATGATAAATTCAGTCCAGATGTCAGGAGGCACCGTAGGACACAGACGCACACTTATAGTCAGTACTCTTCCAACATGAATTGCTCTGCTGGTTTTGTTTAAAATTATACCTGAATTCCAGGCATTCCAGCACAATGTGTGAAAGTCGAACAGAGTTGCCACAGGAACGCTCGTAGCAGGCGATAAGGACATCGTCAGGTCCTAAGGTCACTTCCTGACGTACACGGGGCCGAGGTCACTGCCGTGTCCACTGCGGAAAAAGAAAAGCACCGCTCGTCTAGACACACATCCACACCCACTCACCATGACTGCTTCACTGCGTGGGTAGAGGTGGAAACAACTGTCTGTGCAATGACAAATCACAGCTCTGCACAGCTCCATGTGTCAGTTCCTCGTGAAATTATAATGCTCCATGTTAAGTAATATAATGGCAGGAATCACATGTAGACTCAGGGCTATCCCTACTCTGGAAAAAATGGTGGCCAGATCACCATTTTTTCCAGAGGGAAATATTTCTACTATTGGATGGATTTCTGTTACGTTTCTGCACATGTTCAAG